AAAGTGTCTGCCTCTCTTTCTGAGGGAGTGGGGCCTGGGAATGGGCCCTGGAAGGGAGCCCTGATCCAAAATTTCCAGGAATCTTTCCACTGCTTCCAGCAGCTTTTACAAGTTATCCTTCAAGGCATGCTGGCCACTCTGGCAAGTGCAAACATCATGTCCTAATGCCTGTGTCAAACCTGGATACCGTGTTCCCTAAAATAGCATCTGCTTTTAATGAAAATAAAAGGTGGAGAAATCACCAATGATAAACGTGTGGTCATTAGCTAGTTGTGCCATCAAGTATGGATTTCTTTAGATTTTATTCTCAGCTATTGGATATTGTCCTGCCTTTATTTTCTGCAGTACAGAGTCTCCTACTACTGGAAAGCATCTCTTTACTTTGCAGGTGGAATCACTGAACTTTATTAAATTACAAAGAAAGGAAAAAGTCACACACCCTCTTTCACGGACTTCTACTCCAGCCAGTGTCTGGCTCCAATGAGGACTGTGTAGATGCATTTCTTTATTATGGAAGGAAGATATAACAAAGTAAAGTTGTCCCATGCCAACTTCGTTATCATAAATATCTGTGATGAATATGCCAATCTCTTTTTAATGGGGGGTATTATTTCAGAGGGCAAAATGATCAAATCACAGAGCACACTTGGGTCAAAATAATTTAACTATAATCTTGATAATTGTTATGGTGGCCTGGTTTGACAGGACTGAAATAATTAAATCCTCATCATGAACTATCCTTTCCTTGCAGAAAACCATCTCCTTATGGTTTCACATGTCAAACACAACGCCAAAACTTCTAGCTGACATTTTCAATGAAAAGACAATTTAAAGCATCATAGTGTGCAAAGTCTGTCAGCAGGACAGTCTATCACTTCTACCTGACATCAAAGGGATGTGCATGTGCAGCCTGGTGGAGGAAGAAAACACAGCTGGTATAAGAATCAAGACTCTAGCAAGGAAGGTTAATGTGGACACCTTGTAACTCTGAAGATCAAGGTTCAAATTTGGAAAAAAAACAGAACATAGACTGCAGTCCAGCCTTTCTTCCTTGCACCTAAGTCAAACAAGAATCTTTGGGAAAACTTGTGAAAAATGCCTTTATCTCTACCTCTCATTAAAGTAATCACCTTCATTTCTCTCTCAGCTGTCAGGAGACTGCATCCATAATTCTAGCTTTGCAATTCCCATCACTTTTCCCATGTTTGCATTATCCACTTCTGGCTGCACCATTCAACTTGCCAAAGCTGAAATGTAAGATGCAAGTAGTGAAGTATCCCCAAGTGAAGACCATATAAAAAAGGGTAAGATATGAAATTTAGAGAGACATAAAGTGCTTTCCTGTGGTAGCTTTATCCTTTGTCTCACAGTGCTATTTTTATGAGGGTAAGCAATTTTTGAAATTGCAAGTGAGGCAATGGCAAATTCGTATGAAACATTCATAACTTTGTAACTAAAATCAGCGGTGTGTCCCGAGCGGATGCGTGTTGGCGAGGAAGGCCGGGGAGGCCGCGGCTCTTTCGCTGGGCCGTGTTCCCAGGGCAGGCGGGCGGCTCCATCGCTTGGACAGGCCCTGCTGGGCCTTCGCCAAGGGCTAAATTTAAACCTCGAGGTCTCTGAGGCTTTCCTGGTGAGAGACACATGGCACATTTCTGAGGATGGGAAACCTGCGACATGCAAGATTTTAACACAGATATCAGCTCTGACCCAGCAGAACCTGCAAGAGTGACAAATTGCAAAGAGGGGATTAGCAGAGGAGTGTGTGTGCGTGCACAGCTGTGCATGAAAAAGAGAGGAAGAGAAAAGGGATGAGAGGGGAAGAGGGGGGAAAGCAGGCAGGAGCCAGCTGCGGAGGGCCAGGAATCATCCGGAGCCAGGGAGAAGAGACTGTGCAAGAGAGGGAACTGCACAGAGGGTAATGAAAGTGCAGAGGTACCTCTGCTGATTTATACAGATAAATAAATAATAAATAAATGATGTGTGTGCTGCAAGGAGAGACTGCCGCAGGCCAAGTTCACACTGCTGGTCATGGAGCTCGCAAACAAAGAAAATCTAGTGAACACCTGAGGTTTATTCAAGAACTGGAGAGTGTCTGAGTTTTGTTTCTGTTTCTGTTGAAACCTTTGCTTAGGAAACAAGTGAGAGAATGAGTCTGGGGGCCTCACCTCAGGCCCGCGTGGCGCTCTGTGCATCACACGGTGGCTGCGCGTGTGCGAACGCAGATGTTCGCACTAAGGAGAACCTGGATTGCCATGATGTGACAGTGGAGACAGGTGCCACAGTGAGGGGCATTAGCAGGGCCTCCTCAGCGTAACTTGCCTGCATTTTCCCTGCTCTAACTAATAATAGCCCTTCTCCTCAGCAGTATCGAATTTGCTCGCATTAAAAAGCTGCTTCCCTGTGACAACAGACTATTCTCCTTATTGCACTTCAGAAAGTCTTAATTATGGAACATCACATTTTGCATTTTTTTTCTGTACAAGTGCTGCATTAAAGCGCTATAATGTTGTGTAAACATCTACCTGTGTTTTGCAATATAAAGTTGTTTTTTATGCTCTTAGAAAAAAAGTTGCATCAGCCGCATATAAGTAGGTCAGTGACAGTTCTTTATGTATTTCTTAAATTCACATGGACTCTCCAGGTCCTGGAGTAGGAATACATGGCTAAAACTACTGTGAATAAAATATTTATGTTTTTCCTTAAAAATAAATAGACCCAGTTAAGCTGCAGCAGGAGAGGCAATGCTTTCCCGTGCAGGACTGCCATGTGCATGTTTTAAGAGCTTTACTCAGTTCAGTTTATTAGCATATAATTAACCTGAGCATAATTAATATGAGATTCCCCTTGCACAGAAATCATTCATGAATTTGGGGCTTGTAAGACATCCCTTAACGTGTCATTTATCATGGCAACTGTTATGAATATTACTCATTATTCAGAAGAGCTAATTATTTTGGGGATTCTAGTTGGGGTGGGTCCTGGGGTCAATATCATGGTATTTATTTCATCCAAAAATCTGACTTAAATAGAAACATTTAACACCTGGAGACCGTTCATAGGTACTGCAGAGCATCAGCCTGGTTTGCTCCTGTTGCCCTGCCTGCCAGTGCTGCGGGCTCACCCGCCTGGGGCAGGAACATCAGCGCCAGGGCCAGGGCACATGGTGCTACCCAGGTCCAGGGTCAGCTCCTGGGAAAGCCCTTGTGCTCATCCTTGTGTGGTGCTGTTGACAAGTTCATTGCTGTAGAATCACAGCAGGCCATGTCATCCGGGATATTTTATAAGGAGGATTGTTTTCATTTTACTACAAGTATGGAAACGCCTCTCACCGGTTGGTAGTCAGAACCCATGAGATACCACTTATCTCACAAAAAAACAGCGCAAATGATTAGCCTTGTCACCCACTGCTCTTTCCTTGGGCAATGTTCACTCTAGTGTTTATATGGACCAGAACTCTGTTAATGCACATTAATGAAAAAAGAAGCTACACCTGAGATATCCAGGTTCAGGAGATCCTTGAATCCTGCTGAGAGCCTTGGTGGTTAATATCTGCAATGGGTTGCTTTAAGCAGGGGCCTTGTTTAATACACAAAGTTTGTGCTTTCGGCAGCATGTGGTTCTGACGGGAGCTGCATACACTGTGCCATTTTTTTCAGGCTGCTACCTTTGCTGCGCACGCAGGAGACTACAGCGAGCCTCGGTGTGAGGCATATGTAGATTTCTGGCTCAAAGACATTGTTTGCATCAAAGGGAAGAGCATTCTGTGTGTGTCAAGATGTAAAATATTTTCATTTTAGCATTTCCATAATACAAATTTACAAAGAAGTGACATGTTCAAAAATACTGTGAAACTATGTGTTTCTGGGGAGATCAGAACACGATCCCCCTGGATATGCATTCATTTTAGGCAAACTTCTGAAAGGTTACCCTCTGTTCACCAGCATCATGTTCCTTGTATTGGTAGGAATTCTTCACTTGCCTCTTGGTTAGCTGAATTACGTCACTACACATACCTCACATAACGGGAACATAGCTCTGCCTAATGGCCATAAAGTGGCTACATAGCTTTAACAGGGAACAAAGTGGGCTGGATGGAGCAGGATGAGTGACTTCTCATGTATGTGACATGAGGATGAGTGGCTGCTCCCCAGAGATGACCGCGAGAGAGGGGCGGTTGCAGAGGAGACACCGGCTAAAAAACGCTCATGTTGGCCTGTTTTATTCTGCTCATTCACATGCCTGGCTCTACTGCTGGTGGGGTGCTTTATGCACCGTTACTGCTCTGGATTATGAACCTATTTCTTTCCAAATTAATTGCCTCTGGTTTAGTTATCTGTAACCAATGTGATTTAAAGAGCATGAAAGAAGGCACATAGATGTGGCTCTTGTCCATTAATTCCCACAACGAAACAAATCTTGCACTAGCTGGCTCTGAGAGCAGGTGGATTTCCGGAGTTCAGAAGTGCAGCTCCACTTCTTCAGTGGAGACAAAGTTTTCATGCAGAAGAGGGCCCGGCTTAGAAAGAGGCTGCAACGTCACTGTCTCCTATGTCTATTTAAGACACAAAACGAGGAATACTGTGGCACTAGGCATGGTTCTCACTAGGCATGGCTCTTTTCCATGGCACTGGCGAGGTTCTCATCTGGGGTTTTGGGTCAATTGCAACGAGAAATGTCAAAGCACCTCTTATGCGACCATATTCACCCCGGGATCCAAGAGAGACATCTGCTGCTCTCCTTAGATTATGTGGGCTGTCTGAGCTGCATGCAGACACCCGTGATGGATATTTGGGCTGACAAATGGATTTCATTTTCCCACTCTCATTTTTAGACACTCTCCCCTCCTCTTTTTTTATAGGGAAGAAGGTGACTTTCACATTAGCAGCTGATTGCTCTTTATGCTGCTTAGGACCTGAGCTGGTTGCTCCAGCCTGGAAAGGAGATTTGCTGCTAACCTCTGTGGCCTTCTTTGAGGAAAACAAACAAACAAACAAAGAAAAGCCTTCCTTCAGTCTTTGGAATTGTTTTATTATTTGTTGGGATCACAGAGAATAAATTGAGGATGGTCAGTAAATGCAACGGGAAAATCAGAAGCTGACATCAAGGTCTTACTGCCATGCATGGGAAATGAGCGTAAAACTGAAGAAAAAAAAATATGCAAAATCTGACTATCTGGCAACAAGACATTTTTGCCTTGCACATCTGAGTCCTTACAAAAGGGCAGGTGAGAATAAGGCTTTTCGTAGCCCATTTTGTGGGCACAGAGCCACAGCAGAGCCAGGCTCCTGGCGTGAGGGCAAAGTGCCGACACCTGCAGATGAGGGCCCTGTGTCGGAAAAAAAAAAAAAAAAAAAAAAAAAAAGAGGAAGGAAAAAAGAAAAACTATGTATTCCAGCTCAAAGATCAAGCCGAGATGTCGCCCGAGTCCAGGCAATATTACTCCGGCACGGCAATTAACGTGGTTGCTCCGGCAAAGCGGAGGGAGCCGCCACCACCTCGGGAGCCCGCCCGCCGCGGCGGTGC